TAGGTAAAAATAAATTTTTATGTACATATAAAAATTAATAATTTATCCCGCATTTAACTCCAAAAATTAATTATCACTTACCACACACACATATATATTGTACATCCTAAACGAAGTTAATATTTTTAAACCATGCAATACTAAGTACTTATATCAAACCATTGAAAGTAATATTTTTAAGCATAAATAATTGATAATATACATTTCCTTATTTATAAAAATAGGTATTTTACTATTTTTAAACCCATAATTTCATATTAATTATTTAGATAGATTGATATTAATTTGACTTCAAATAAATAGATATCTATATTTTATTATATGATATAATTTTTTTGAAATCATGAGAATAAATCTAAATATTCAAACACAAATTATTTTTTCAAAATATTTAAATATATATATATATAAATTTAAATTTGAATTCAAATCGATACTCCCTCTGTTAAAAAATATAAGATATTTTTTGAGAAGATGAATGTTCAAAATGAAAGGCCTTTGTAGTCTTTCGAGGTGTAATCATTGCTTTTTTTTAAAGTACCCGTATTGATAATGATTTATATTTATTGTAGGGGTTTAATAAGGGTAAATATAGAAAGATAAAGTTAGCTAGAAGGTAAGTAACTACTTATTAGAGGTAAGATTTAATTAAAAATATCTTACATTTTTAAATGAGGGAGTAAATACACACACACACACACACAATCATATGAACCTTAATTTTCGACAAATCTTTAAGATAGATGGAAATTTTCAAAAATGATGATGATAGATGGAAATCTTAAATAGAGTTATTTTTCTAAATTTTAAAATAGATAGATATTAATTTAAATTTAAATATGATCATATTTCAATTTTAAAATAGGTAAAAATGATTTTATATATATATATAAAAATTAATAATTTATCCCGCACCTAACTCCAAATTTAAATAATATATTTTATAGACATTAAAAAATAATAAATCATTCCAAATCTAACCCTAGATATGACTCTGAAGCACAAAATTACAACAAATTTAAAAATAAACATGTGATATTCTCACATAATTTTTAACCCTATTTTTATATATATAATGATTTGCTCTCTCGGTGGGGGCAATTTTCATTTATCTCCGGGAGTCTGTGGATCTCCTTTCCCACTTGAAGAAGCTGCAAATCATCGAACGTGGGCAGAATTATTACAGACTTGCAATGTTTGTCTTGGTATTTCATTTTTTTTTTGACACTACATTTAAAAAAAAATAAGATTTTTTATCCATGTTGTGCTTCACAGCTGGTATGCCCCTACCCTTGCGTTTTCCATCTTGTGATTTTTTTTTTTTTTGAAAAAGGAATTCTTTTTCCATCTTGTAGTTCAATGGTATGACTCTACCTACCAAATTAATAATGGTTTAATTAAAATTAATAGAGCTTACTACCAAAAGATATTAACATATTTAAAAGATATTTTTGCTCTCAAGGTATTCCCTTTGATTTTATTTGAAGTCACCCCTAATCACTTTATCAAAATGAAAGAAAAATAGTTAAGTCATTAACTTTATTGAAATAAAAATTTTTAAATTGTTATTGTATTCTCTCTCATAATTAATGTTTTTAAATCAGGTTAATATTAACAATTAAAAAGTTCATTAATGCCCCATCAAGTAACTTATATTAAAAATCATTAATCTCTTCTAAAATGTAGTTTATAATAGAGGCGAAGGGAGTATTTTTCAACATTTGTCAAATTTTCATGCAGCAGAAACATGGAGGAACTTTTATTACTCTACACATTAGAAAGCTAAAATAAATAAATAATGAAAAAAATATAATTATGGATCCCTATACTTTTATTATATTTTGTTATTGATCCCTATACTTTTTAATTATTAATGTTTCAAGCCTCTCTAGTTTCTTTCATATACAATATAAATCCCTCTACTTTTAATGTTCTTATAAGGATGATGATGCAACACTAATGATATTAAATTATTTGGCATATAACTATAACTAATAGTATTAAATCTTGTGTTTAATGTTGAAAGAAGGATGAGATAACAATCTAATTAGCAGTGAATAAAATGAAAGGGCAAAAGTTTAAACAACAGAAGCACTATTCACAAGAACTACATGCCATTTAACTTGGTTAAAAAAATCGATTAGGGCATCTGACCCATAGAGATAAAAGACTTGACCTATAATGATCGAAAGCCATTTTTCTAATTGATAAATATCGTTGTTAGTGCTGTCTTTATCATAAAATCATCGTGGACTAATTTGATTTAAACATGTCAATATTTTCATTAGTACCGTTACCGTTATTAGTTACACATAAGATCATTTAACATAATAAGTGCCATAATCTCTTTGGTATTATTTAAAAATAGATGGACTAATGTGGCACACAAAAAAGATTACAAGGACATGAAACGTTTTTTTAAAATAAAATAACCAAAAACAAAATATGATAAAAATATAAACTTTAATAATGGTGCCTTTTCATGAATAAAATACATTCCCTCTTTTTTCGTTTGAAATTGGAAAGGGCTAAAAATTAATAAACACACAAAATCATTACAAAATCCATTTTTATCTTGCTTTTCACTTTTTTTTCTTGACCAGCTTTTGCATTACTTTTTTATTTTTAAATGAAGATTTCTTTTCCCTAGCATGGCCCAACTTACAAAATTATATGGGTTAGTTAATATTAATAAAGTTAAAAGGCATTTTCTCTTCTAAATTATTCTTTGACATTCCTCAATTTTTCATGCATTGAAAAAAAAAAATTCAGTGATAGTCAATGATCATATAATTTAGTGATATGAAGGCTTCTCTGTAGATAAGATAAGATGTTGCACGTTTGATCTCACTTATAACGTTAGGTTATAAATTCTTGTCCCTCTATTAAAAAAAACAAAACCATCATGAGAAACATCAAGGAACTTTCATGACTCTAGACAATGGGAATGGCTAAAATAAATAAATAAAATAGCTTCCATCATACAAGAAACACGTTTCGTTTTACACGGAAAAAACGAACTAATTAATAAACAAATACAAAAATGTTACAAATTCTTCCCATGTCTATCTTGCTTTCCGTTAGTACTTTTTTTTTTTTTTAACCATATTATCAATGCCTTTTTGGCTCACTAGTATATTGTTTTTTAATTTTTTTTAACCATGATATCTTGCTTTTCATTTTTTTTGTTTTAAATTAAGATTCTCTTTCATCTCGTGGCTCACTAGCATGTCCAAACCTACCAAAATGATAGTTTAGTTCAATAATAATAGGGTTAAAAAAAAAAAGAAATTTTCACAACTAGAATATTTTTGAGCTTTTACATATGCAGCTCATATTATAAAATCAAATCAAATAAATAATTTAATATTTATTATATTTTATATTATGATCGATTTATTATATTTATCAATGATATATCATTATATATAAATAAAACAGAGGATACTACTACAAAAAATAATATAAATGATGGTTTTTTTTAACTTATAAATGATGGTTATTTACCCATCATTTATTCCTTTGTATAAATGATGGTTAAATAACCTGTCATTTAAAATATATTTTTTTGTATCTTCTGTAAGAATAAATGATAGGTATTTAAAATACCCGTCATATATTCTCATCATAAATGACAGGCAAATATTTTACCATCATTTATTCTATCAGACAATATATGATGAGCAAATATTTGCCCGTCATATATTCTATGACTTTTTTTTAAATAACGGTCTGTTATTTATAGCAAGCTCCCTATAACAACTATACAAATAATAACCAAACAGCAATTCCAACATTTTTATACATGAATATCAATTAAAATTGAATTATAATCAATAAAAATAAAATAAAAACTAATCTCTTATTCTAATCTATCAAGTAATCAATGTATAGAAATTTTTAAAGGAAGTAATTCACCAACTAATATCAAATAATGAGTGAAAATTAGTAAAACTATAAACACTAATCCTACTTACACTAAATCTATTGATTTTTATCTTTGTGCAATGACCACACTTGGAATATGTACTAGCACCACTATTCAATTGCCTCATTTATTTGTGCATGCCCAAATTATTCAATGTAGGAATCCTCATAGTATTGTAAAACATAAATTATCCACCATAAATTTATTTTAATAAATTAAATTCATTAGCAATTATAAAGTGAAAATTAATTGTTGGCATACCATCGTAGGAATTGTGCTCTCATTATGGATAATGATGTCTTTCATGAACCTCATAACACAAAAGCTACAATTCAAGCTATTTTTCATTTGTTTTGGGCACTACAAATTAAAAAACTAATGAGTACATATGAATGCATTAAAAAATTATGAATATTTAAATTAAAAAATAATATTAATTTCCTTTATTATATTCCAAGTGTAGGCTGCATCGAAATTTGTAAATGACCTTGAAATTATTTATTTAGTGTTTATGCGGTACAACACAATTGTCCTAATAAAAAAAAGAAAAAATATGTCAATATAGAAATAAACAAATAAATATATAAAATATTTATTTTTTGCACTTACGTATTAATCAACTCCAATAAAATTTATCTATTCTCTGGTTTTTCACCAAGAGAATCAAGATAATATATTCTTGGAGTGCTACTATATGGTTCAGTGGCAATCAACATCCAATGGTTTCTATTAGCATTAACAGGTATTATAAAATTATAATTAATTAACTAAATTAATCTTAACAAATCCATTAATATAAGTAAGAAGTAGGTTATCCTTGGCAATATGGTATTAAAAATAATGTCCCCTTTTGAGCCCTTGCTTTAAAATTTTCACTTAATTGCTTGGCTTGATCTAAAATCTTGTCTTTTTTAATTAAAGCATGTGCGCCAATCTCATGGGGACTAAAAAAAACGAACTTCGTTTGTAGGCCGAAAGGGATAATAAATTTTTCATGCAAGCACCTGCCATTAATATATCAAATGAATTAGTATATATTTAAAATAGTAACTATTCATATATGAAAGATAATTTACCATATATAAAAGCTGAGAACAGTGAGGTTGGTCATCTCATGTTGCAGCACTTCATCTGTAATATCGAGCGAAAGCATATCATATCGTGGTGCACTGTATATTCCTGCCTCGAATGGGATTTGCAAGATTGGAGGATTAGACCTATGAATCATTGCATACACCTGAAGTAAATTTCGATGCTGGCTTGACAATTGAAGCTCTTGTTCAGGTATTGCTACATGTGAAACAATTTTTGAGGAAAGCCTAGATATTTGTACAGTCTTCTTCTTGGATTGTGTATCTTTGTTAGCTTTTTTTGGACTTGGCATCTTAACATTGGTAGATTGCCATCCAACAAAGCTACCCATCACCTCTCCTACAATCCCTGCATCTTTGGTGGGAATAGGTAATGTATAGTTGAGATCTTTAGACACATCAATAGCAACTCGTACATACGATGCAAGGAGTGGCATATTATGTAATGTGTCTCTAGGCATATTGAACACTCGACCAATAGCAACCACGTGATGATTTAGGCTATTTGCTAATAACTCACATATATTCTTGCCCTATATTAATGAGTAATATATTATATTAATGTTATGGAAAATAAAAATAGTGAAACATATGTAAAATAAATAAGTATTATTTTACCTCAGGGAGATTTTTAACGGGCTGTATTACATTGAAACTACCTTTCCTACTAGGACTATTATGAAACTCCCCCTCCCGCCTCTCCTTGTCCTTTAGCAAGGTATCAATCAATTCTCGTTGCCTAACAAGCTCCTCTTTTAATGTGGCAATCTCAGCTCTTGCACCCACGTCCTCTATTGACTTCACCTTTTTCTGTGTCCCAAATATTTGTTTTTTTATGACACCAAAGCCATAACCCCTAACCCAACCGGAGTGTTCAGGATTACTTGTGCCTTGCCCAAGACATCTCCATCATCAGGTAGGCCACTTTTTTCTATCTCAGCCTGTGTAACATATAGTGAGAAAGTTAAGTTTATTAATTGATTATAAGAAAAAATGACAATATTAAAATAATATACTTACACATTTGTTAGCAAGCTCCTGAATACGTTCGTCAACAATATTTCCTTCTTTATTGGTCCGAGCTTCTACAAAGAGTTTATGACGTGAAACAGAACTTGCTCCTGAACCCTCTCACTTGATCTATGCATTTAAATAAAGTTGAACATTAATAGTGCACATATCAATAAACTAAAATTATATGACTTAAATATTAACATACCATTTGCTACTCAATTCCTGCATATTCCATGCACCTTTTCTTGTAAGGGTATATATCTTTCTCATGCAACTCTTTCTTTTAGTTACTCAATTCCTATGCAAAACACATTGAATTAGATCAAAAATATATATATTGATAATAAAAACTTATAGTTCTTACTTGGAATTGCCCCTTGAAATGTTAAGCAATAAATTCATCCCATGGTTCTTGTGAGACTAATAGCCTTATTAATTCGGGAACTTCAACATTAATGTTTCTGGCCAATTTTTTAATGTATTTCATTCCAACGAAATACCAAAATGTTCGCATTACTTTTCCAGCTTGTTGAATGACAAATTTCATTCGATTAGCATCAATTACAAACGCTGACTATAAAATAAAGAAATTAATTAGATTTGTAGTCAAGTAATTAAAATTAATTATATTGATTATGAGTAAAGTATTTTACCTCTTCTTGCTCCCAAATATAATTCTTTATTACTAAACTAACATTGTTCCAACTCCTGATTGTAATGGGCACATTTGCCTTTGCCACAACTTCTATATAGCTGATAAATTTATTTCTGTTAGTCTTAATAGGTTGACCTTTGTAATTCTATTCAAGTTCATATTTTTTTCTAGTAGCCCTTCTCCTATTCACATCGCTCATCAATGTCAATCCCCTTATTATTTGATTTGCTTCTTGTTGAATTTGTTGGTCATTCATGTCAATGCTAAGATCAGTATTGCTAGGTCTACTAGGATCAATACTTTTTTGAGAAACCATTTACCTACAAAAATAAAAAAAACAAATATGGAGAAGAAATGAATGATAAATTGATTAAAAAAGTAATTGACTACTCTACATGTAAAAAAAAATTTGGCAGCATAACGTCATAAAAACAAGTATTTCCCAAGCTTAAACTCACTTTTTAAACCTAACATCTTATATCAATAAGCTAACACAATCTCAACAGCAAAAAAATCCAACAAAATGACGTTTTCAACCATACACAATTTCAAAAAAAAAAATCATTGAAAAATCACAAAAAAAATACCATAAACATCAATTCCGATAATTGCTTTTTGTCTCATTTATCATTCTAATGTTACTCATACCTTACAGTAGTAATCTCATACCAAGATAATATCATTCATTATAGCAATTGTCAAAATCTCAACAAAATAGTTATAATTTTTAGAGAAACTGCGCGTCAACTTTGGTCACTCAAATCAACTTTAATTGTAATGAAATTTGATACACTAGTACATTTCAATATGAAGTTTCTAATGATAAAACTATCCAAATCAAATAAGGCATATAATTTAAAAAATTATTCAAAAAATTCGTTCAAAATTAAAAAAATACAATCATCATGAATATACATTTTGATCACTCATTTTCATCCTCATAATTATTTTGAGGCTATGCATAACCTCCATTAGCATCCTCAAGCCAAGAACATCATATATGGTCAATTTCGACAACCAACATTACCAAAATCAAGCAATAATATGCACAAAAAGTTAATTATGTAAATTTAAACAATAAAACTCTATAAAACAATGACTAAATCATTCCCACAACCAAAAATCAAAAGATATTGAAAGAAATGCTAGAAAACATGAAAAAAATGTACCTAGGAAGAAAATGGGTCAAAAAACAATGGCAAACTCAAGGCACAACGAACAACAGTGAGGACGACAGTGAAAACATGACAGAGGTAGGGGTTGATGGTTGACTATGAAAATGAAGTCACTTTATGGGTTTACTTGTGATTTCGTGTGAAAGTGGAGAAGAGAAGAGACGAGAGTCCTTCGAGCGCGCGAGAGAGAATATGAAATGGGAAGAGCTAAAAAGTTTTTAAACAAAAATAAATGACGGGCATTTAAATACCTGTTATTTATTCCTCTTTATTTGACGAGCATTTCAAATGCCCCTCATATATTGTGATGACTTTATATGACAGCCATTTGAATGCCCGTCATATAAAGCCTCTTTTTTTTATTTTAAAAAATTAAACATTATACAACGGGTATTTTCAAATGGCCGTCATATAAAGCCTCTTTTTTTTTATTTTACAAAATTAAACATTATATGACAGGTGTTAAAACACCTGTCATATAATGTCATCAATATAAATGATGGGTATTTAGAAAGACCAACATTTATGTTAATATTAATTTTTAATTTTTTTTAGAGGCAGAATTTGAAGTCTTATATGACGAGTGTTAAAACACGTGTCATATCATATATGCTAATGAGATAAATGACAGGTGTTTAAAATACCCATCATTTATTTTGCAACCATCACCCACCTCTCTTTTAAATGATGAATTTTTTTAAAACTGTCATTTTTAATAATATCATATATCAATAATTTTATAGTTGTGGGAGCGGACACGATTGGAGATGGAGGGTTTGAATAATGACATGGTGTGGGCATTAAAAAAAAAAAGAGCATAGGTCCCACACTATTTTAATTCTTTTTGCATGTTTCATCTTTTTCTTTTTTATCTCAAACGGTGCATTCCTTTCTTCCTTCCTTCTTTCTTTTACTTCTTTTTCTTTTTTCTTAATATCTTATTGTATATCTTATTATCTTATTATTATTACTATTAAAAATATTGTATTGAAATTATAAAAATATTGTATTGAAATTATGTCTTAATTTAAGCCCAATGATTTTTTCTAATTAAACTAATTATATTCAAATATTTCTGGTTAATTTATATTAATTCTAGTTAACTCTTAAATTTTAAATTTGGATGTTACAGGCCACACTTCTAAATTTTTAAAAATTTAATTCATATTTTATAAGCACAAGATTTTTTTGACCACTAAACCAATTTATCCAATATTTTTTGAGAAGTATTGATTATCATAAATTCAATTTAGGGTAATGTCACCCTTTTATATATATATATATATATATATAAGTCTAACGTGGCCCCTAAAATTCCAAATTAGCGTAAATTATCTTATTTTTTATCCTTATTAACTACCACAATAATTTAATTTACAACTTAATTAGTTTAAAAACACATTTACTTATAAGTCTTAGAGGTTGGCTTGTAGATTGCATCTTAGGACTTGTGAAAATAACGATATTTAGGTTATTAAATGTTTAAAGTATATATTAATATTTTAATAAAATATTATCAATAAAAATATTTAAATTACTTACTATTACTTTACATTTTTTTTTGGGCAAAACTTACTATCACTTCACAATGATGATCTATCGACCAGTATAGATGGTCAGTCAAAAAGATTTGCCAAACTGATATTTTGACATTTTAGATTAGCAAAAATTAAAAAATAATACTAGTCTTTTTAACATTTAGTTATGGTAAATGAAATTTTGGGGACTAATCAGTATTACTTTTTTTAGAAGAAACTTATTTGTAATTTTTAGAGGATAATTTCTAATTTGTCTTTTTGCTAACACTCAAATTAACATAAAATTAACATACGGTTTGCTATTATATCTGGACTTTGGGACAACATTGCAACAATTTAAACATTAAATTGACAGGTGGTTTAAAGAAAATAGTTGATAGTTAAAAATTTCTTTTGGAAATCCTATTAAAATATGTCTCATGATATTATCTCCATTGTTAATCATAAAATATTTCCATCATCGAAAGCCTTCAAGAATTATAACCTAATACATTAAAATTTGGAGCAAGAATGATAGTTAGGCCAAAAAGATTAGAAAATTAATAATAGTTAGGTTGCTGATAAAATTATAACCTAGTGATCTTTCTCTCACTTTTACTATCGTGTGACCCAAATTAATCTTCTTCATACACATATGTCATCCATATATGCCAAGCCACAATGTTTATTTCTTCCTTACTATGAAAGCACCTTTTCATCCCAAAAAGCAAATGCTTATATGCGTGTTTAACTGTTTATCCACCTGTACACACGTATGAATTTCTTAAAAAAATTATTTATAAATTATTTTTAATATATTTCATCTGAACTATAAAAAATACTAAAATTTATTAATTTTGTTTAAAAATTCAATAAGTTTTTTATTTCACCCATATTATATATACAGACTTTAATAATATACTTTATTTCAACAACACTTAATGGAAGGTTAAAAAAAAATTGCAATGAAAAATTAATAACATGACTTATAAATAAAATTAAAAAATCTTTCAATCTCTAACTTATAAATAAAACGAGAGAGAGTATGGGTGCATGTGTGTCTCTTTCTCTTCATTGAGTCAATTGATTTAGAGCTTTTTTTATGCTGTTATTAGGTTGAATTTGAGTATGATGCTCAAAAAGCTAAAATATGGGGACAATTATTGCTTTATATAATTAGTAGAGATATCAAAATTTTTAGTCTCTTATGTTTAATTTGCCTCAATAATTTATTTGGTTTTTATTATTTGAAAAGGAGATAATATCAATAAAATCTGTGGATATGGATATCGGAATTTAATTTTGATTTGGTCCCCATGTGCTTAATGAAAAAAATGTAATTATTTAGATAGGAAAAAAATAAAACAAACACAATTTTTTTTAAAACAAAATGCAACGCATAGGAGTAAGATTGACAAAAATTAAACATATTTGAGGGACATTTTGGGGTGTGACATGATTAAAAAAATCTCTAATTGAGGTTAGAATAATGAACTGAGATTTTTAAACTGAAGGAGGTTAAAAGATTGTGAATTATGTTTGGTTATATTTTTTTAGAAGTCAATTAAATAAACTAAAAT